ATACATGGAATGGGGGAAGGGGGGAAGGGGGGAAGGGGGGAAGTGGGCGAGTGGGGAAGGGGGAAAGGCGGGAAGCGGGGGAGGGGGGAAGGGGGAAGACGGGGAGGTAGAGGTAATTCGCTCAGAGTTTCAGGCCCTGGGTAACGAGTCCAAAACTGAAATTAGGTTTTCGGGGTCAAATTTTATTAGTTAGTATGGCCTCCACTCTATGAATTGGTGGCAAAAAAATAATAATAATAATTAAAAAATAAATAAATAAAAAAACAACAACAACTTTGGTTTTCTCATAAATGGCATGGCAAGTGGTCTGAAAATTAGGGTGTCCGTCACCCTTCTCTCCCGAACTCCATTCTGAGAAGGACAGGGTCACAGGGGAAAGAAAAAGAAAAAAAAAAAGAACTCAGGAGCCAAAAGCCATCGAGTACACTGGTTACACTGATAACTCTTCAAACGTGAAAGGGGGTTCAGTGGGAGAGGTAGAAGAGAAAGGAAAGTAGCAGCAGTACCTGGGCGCTGTTCCACAACCTCGTTTAACCGCTGAGTGGTGAGCCCAGTCCGAAGCCGATTGGCAAGAGGCCAATTTGACGAAGATGTGCATCCCGCCTGCTGGGCGAATTCCTCCTCTCTTCCAGTGTCAAGAACAGGGACTGCTGGGAACGGTCCATTCAAGTCCATGTGGGAGTGGCCTGCTCCCGCCGGACGCTGTTCCAAGTGCCTTTTGGAGGAAAAGCCGAGGCCCAACGACAGAGCGTCATCAGGCTTGTTCAAAAGCGAACGCACAGTGACAAGTGAATCATCATTGGTACCTTCCTGCAGAGCATCCTTGGCGCCGCTGCTGGTAGCACAACAATTGCTGCGGTGGGCTCTGGACTTGGGACACATATGCTGAAGCTGACCCTGGTCATCACTACATTGCAAACCCAGTCTGAGACCAAACTCTCCTCGGACATGTGCGGCACTTCCTTGGCCATTTACCATCGCTTCCGCAGAGCCAGCACCATTCCGACTGCATCTCCGCTGCTCTGTCACATAGGAAGACTTCTCTACAGCCTCGTCCGAGTTGAAGAACCGGAGAGATTCACCGGTCCGCCACTCGCTATGACCAGAGATCTCCCCTACACCTTCTGATGACCGCTCAGGTCTGGGCGATGAGCTAGTGGCAAATGAGCAATCCCTCGAGTCGACGGATGTACATGCAGCGACTGCGGTTGCTGCTGCGACAGAAGGAAGAGGAGGCGAGTGCACCATCGACAATTCCTGTGCTCGCCCAGGTCGTCTCACAAGATACAGGCTTTCAGAGTTGGCACTAACGGGTGTTGTCAGCGTGCCCCCACCTAAGCCTTTGAATCGCCGGACTCTCTTGTTATCTTCCGCATTTATGCTGAGGCCCATTGACAGGGAAGGTCCCACAGCCGGCAGGGCCGTGTCACTTGACGAAGGCAGGCCATCGTCCTGGTTGATGCTTGCTGCATGATAGAGCTGAGATTCACACGACGATCCGAATGGAGCTTTCCGCAGTCTCTCCTCCATAAGGACCACCTCCTCCCTGTCTCTCTTAAGGGAGCCAAGGTGGCGTATGGCAGGAGAGATATTGGCAGTACCTCCCCCTCTGAACACGTCTCCTGACCATGGTGGCACATGATTGGGTGGAATGGCATTGCACGACGAAGGCACTGCGTTCATGTTTGTGTTCCCCTCAGCGGTTTGGCATGCCATTGATGACCGAAATTGAAATTTCCGGACCCTTTCTTCAAGCGTCAACTCGCTGGGCTCTCTTTCTCTCTTCAGCGATCCCATCCCTCCTCTGCAGCCGATGGTTCCCAACCAAGGCTCTACATGCTGGAGGCTCCTTTGAGATCCATATGACGCATTCCCTACCACCTCTTTCAGTAGCTGCTCGTCAACGTTTCTATGACTCTTCGAAGGGCCAACTGCAACACCTGCGCCATATGTGACTCCTGAGACTGTACATCCATCACATCCATGAAAAATCCCGATGGCGCCAATGCAATTAGTGTGACCATTTTCAACACAAACACATACACATCTCATGCTCTCCTCCAAGAGACAAAATGCAGAAGTACTACCAACCCGCCAATTGAAAACCTGACAAGAGCAGTTCGCATGTAATCAATCAACGGGAAGGATGCGGACAGACGTTGTGCTAGGCATGAGTACGAGCCCATGCGAAACGGGAGTCAGAGAGAGCAGTGCACCAACTGCCACCGAGCTCCGGTGTTAACATTAACAAGAATACCAGCCGATGTAAGAGAGCCATCACCCGCAGAAAATGCACATCATCGGACAGTTTCACAAAAACAACGTAAGCAATAAATGAGAGGATTACGATGGCCGTGAATAATGAATGCAAAGAGCAGCTGGGGAGAAAGGCACACCTCCTGTAGCTTTGGGTGAATGCAACTCCAGCGCCATTGCAAGTCTCTGCTCCACTCCACGTGCTCCCAGCCACTTGTACGCAGGACGAGGCATTGAGTTTGGAGCCTGGGGCCAGATCTGGAGTTTTGTAACTAGATGAAGGCTTCCCAGAATGTTGGCAATATCATACAACCTCCGCGCCTTCGCTGCAAAAGCCAGCAGCATAAGAGCACAACCACCAATTAAATCAGGATTCAGGTCATTAAATCATTGGCGTACTCGCAGCAAGCCAATTGACAGATGGATTTGAAAACAGAGCCATTCTTTTCCTTCACTTTCCTTCGCAAGCATTGAGCATTGTTCCTCCTGAGCTTTCTGTGCCAATTAACGATAAAAGAGTTTTCCCAAGCATATGCATGTTCAAGAAAGGCTCCAAATGTATGGATGCATGCTTAGTATTGATTACTGATATCCTGATACGGAACCTCCTCTCAAATTTTCACATATTCAGGGGAGACAGGAAACACGAAAGGAGGGGAAGGGAAGGAGGGGGAGGAGAGGGAGGAACCAAGGGAGGAGAGAGAGGAGGGAGGAAAGAGAGGAGAGGGAGGAGAGGGAGGAGAGGGGGGAGTCAAGGTAGGAAAGAGAGGAGAGGGAGGAGAGGGAGGAGAGGGAGGAGAGGGAGGAGAGGGAGGAGAGGGAGGAGAAGGCGAAAGGGGAGAGGTGAGAGAGGAGAGGGAGGAGAGGGAGAAAAGTGGAGGGAGGAGGAGAGGGAGGAGGAGAGGGAGGAGGAGAAAGAGGAGGGAGGAGTGGAGAGGAGGAAGGAGGAGAGGAAGGAGGAGAGGAAGGAGAGAGGAAGGAGGAGAGGAAGGAGGAGGAGAGAGGGAGATGGAGAGGGAGGGAGAGGGAGAAAGAGAAGAGAAAATTGAGGGAGGAGGCGGAAAAAAGAGTAGTAGTGGGAAATACGTACTTTGAAGATTTTGTGTGTCGCATGCAACACCCAGCAATTTACCAACAACATATTCCCATTCTACAGCTCGCTCCTGCATATACAAATCACATACAAGGTCTGATTGAATCAACAGCGAAATCCTTCACCAGGCTAGGTTATTGGGGCACACATCCAGCAGGCACTCAAAGTCCCAACGCTCATCCAGCTGTCTGAACCAATATAGCCCGACTGTGACACAAGGCATTGAAGCATTCAGCATCAGCCAAGGCATCTCAATCAGACTCGATGACAAAATCAGGACATTAAGTCCAGTCGAGAGAGTAGTAGTTTGGGCCTTTCTAGGGGCAAGTATGAACAGAAAGGTCTTTGAAAAATCGTGCCGCCAGTTCAACAGTTCATGACCGATCTAAAGAGGGGGGGGGGGGAGCATCCCCTCTTTCAAGCATGCACTACATGTCTAATGTTCCATTCATCAAAAGACAAAGCATCCCCGATTCCCCTTTCCCAACCACATAACATGTCTGACAATGGCCAGTGCCTGCGCACAGAGACCACTCACAGAACACATACGGCAACGGCCGACGCCCATGTACAGAGAACATGTTTACCAGGACATTCTCCTGAGTCAAACCGATTTACAATATTATAGATGACGAGTTTGACAAAGGTGAGGGAGACGGGAGAGAGGAGAGGGAGGGAGACGGGGGAGAGGAGAGGGAGGGAGACGGGGGAGAGGTGAGGGAGGGAGACGGGGGAGAGGAGAGGGAGGGAGAGGGGGGAGAAAAGGGAGGGAGACGGGGGAGAGGAGAGGGAGGGAGACGGGGGAGAGGAGAGGGAGACGGGGGAGGAGAGGGAGGAGGCGAATGAGGAGGGCAATGGGGAGGAGGCGAATGAGGAGGACAAGGGGAAGGAGGCGAATGAGGAGGACAAGGGGGAGGAGGTGAATGAGGAGGAGGAGGTTAAGGGAAGCAAAGATGCAATCCTTCCTTACCTCATCTAAGAGAAATAGTTGCACAAAGCGTTCACTCAAAGCTCGCAGGGACTTGTTCCTCCGTTGCACTGATGAAACCGATTGGGAAAGTGCATGCAGGTCGATTGGCATTTGGTCACACAGATGACATGAGCCACATCCAGAATTACACCACCTGTCAGTCTTACTCATTCCTTTTGAGACAGAATGATTGTTGTATGTACATGCAGGGGAAAGTACCTCTTTATGGACGATAATCCGTCTCATCCACCCATCTGACCACCTCCCGCTCATTAATTAAAAAAGAAGAAAAATGATCAAAAATTTCAAATGACAAAGCAAGCAACCAGGAGAGCAAGGAAGGAAATGGGTCAAGTGCTTCAAGACTCAAGCCCATAAATGGAAAACAAAATTCAAAAGGAAAAAAGAAAAAGAAATCATGAAAGACCAAAGTACGCCGCAACCTTGCACTGAACCCCAGTACACCGCAACAAGGGCCCTGTCCTGCCCCTGCTGCAGCTAAGCCTGGGCTGAGGTCAGGTTCGGCCTGCCAGACCAACAAAGCTGACGGCGCCTGATAGGCTGGCCAAACCCCTCAATGGTTCGGCAGTTCAGGTGGGAGATAAATGATAAATCCAGTGCCCTGGATAAAATGGGGTCGTGAGTTCTGATTAGTTTAAAAACTGCATCATCAGATATCACGATAGTGGAGCAGCGGTTCCAAGGAGTGAAAATCCGTTTCTATGCCCAGGGTTTTCATGACAGAAGTGTGACCGCCACAACTCATGAATGAGAGGGTCTAGCAGCATGGGCAGGGAGGATAGCAAGGAGACTTGGAGACTGCAAACAGGAGCAGTTAAACATGAAATAAGTTCAAAAATAATCAAAAGGCAAAGAGTATGTGCTATGCAGTGTATGCACTATGCAGCATGGAGTACTATGGAAATGAAACATCAACATGGGGGGTGTAGTCACTGTAATGGTTCCCTTACGTTGGTCAAGGAGAGCCCTGCTGGAAGGCTTATGATTAGCAGTGCTTGCGGGTCCCCTTCCTGTCGAATCATGAGGTTCACTTCCACACGCGCTGCTCATCGGACAGGTGGACGAAAGACCGCTCTCATTTGGTTCATTTTGCTGCCGGGACATCTGTCGAGAATGATCTGGACTGCGACTGCCATGCACAGTTTCCATGTCATGGTTGTAATTAGCTTGCCGCTGTGAACTCTGCCCACCTCCACCAGTCTCGCCCTCTCTAAGGTTCATATTGCTGTCCATAGTAATTTCCTCCTCCTGATCATCGGTGGATGACAGAGTTGTCACATCCTGCACGCTGCAGGCTCCCTCAGTTTGCTCGACAGCTTGAACTGCCAACACGTCGGCCTGCACCAGTATTACAAATCGCATACGTTGACATAAATTGAAAATAAAATTAATAAATTGTAATTGTAAGAAAAGTTAGAAACCACACACTGTCAGCAGTGTATGCAACGAAAAAAACGCTTTCTCAGCGACTGCCGACTGGGCCTCCTAAGCCTCTTTTTTCTTGTTTTGAAAGACATGGAATTTGCCGTACAATTTATGAATCGATCAGATGGAATCAATACTCCTCGAACAAGAAACATTATCAAGAAAGAAACTTGCATTGCATAGTGAAATGCAATGCAACATCAGGCAATCAGAAACATCATTAACTTATTAAACCACCTCTTCTTCTACCTCCAGGCAAACCGGGGCCAGTCTGCCAGTCTGCCAGATGCCAGAGGCCACCTCAGAAAGGGGGCGGTCGCCTACTAAAAAGGTGAGGATAAATAGCTCGAGCCTGGCGGCGGTTTACGAGACAAAGATTCTGAGTGGTTGACATTGTCAAATCATCCCCCATTGGAAGGACAGGTTATCAAATAAAAAGGTAAAAAAAAACTGATAACATTCAGCGGGTGATGAGGGCAATGAATAAAGTGTGTGTGTTTTAGATTTTCCCCGCAACAGCCCCAATTCCACCTAGGTCAATAGATTCAGAATCAAAGCAGTCTTTGTCCTATTGCAGACAACGAGAGCATTTGAGATGTCCAACATATTAAAGCAATTTTGTAATTAGAGTGTGTGAGTGTGTGTGTGTGTGTGTGTGTGTGTGTGTGTGTGTGTGTGTGTGTGTGTGTGTGTGTGTGTGTGTG